AGGAGTCTGCCACGCTGCAGGATATAAAAGCTGTGCTGCTTTGGGTATTTTTGGCTATTTTCGACTTCTGACTCATTGTTGCCTTTACAGGACGTTGAATGTCCACTGTGCCGTCAAGTGTTTAACAGTTCGGTTTCTTTGACCAAAAATTATATTGTTGGTGCTCTGCTGCAGTCAGTCACTGAATTGGTCGAGGGACAGGAGGACTCTGAAACGGATGCAAGCCTGAGATTCTCGGTATGGTGAAATTTTGAATTTCGCGACTGGTTTTTGCATTTTTTTTTTTTTTTGTTACAAGCGCACCATCGCCACTTGTGCCTTCATTTGACCTGCCCAACAGAAATTACTGTTTGACAATCATCGTATGTAGAAAAAGAAAATAGCAAAAGCGAGTCGTACTAAGAAAAAAACTTTCGGCCTTTAAGCACAGAATATGCAGATATACAAGGATTTCGAGCGGTACTAGCTTTAGGGCAGTTTTAAATTGCTTTCTAAGAAAAAAACGACCATTGGGGCTGTCTCCGAAGAAGTGGCAGAGCCTGGCACATCTCCGTCGGGTATATACCTGTAAAATATTAACATGGATTCCGTCACGCTGATGATTATCCGAGTTGTCTTGTTCCTGTTTTACGCCCAGAATTGCCATTCTTGGCTTATTAATTCTAAGGCCGTCAGAAATGTTGTAACAGTTCTTGTCAGTGGCGACGGCTTGATATATTTGACGTAAATTTTTGAGCATTACCTATTAAACTGAACCTTTTTTGATTCTTTTCTAACTTCTGAACTTTTTAACCCCTTACTCTTCATGATCTAAATTACTTCGACATGATATATTTAACTTGCGTAATTTTTGATTATTAGTTTTCCATTAGGCTATTTTTACCTTTCAGTACAAATTGGTTTTGCAACAGTATGCGAAAGTGGAAGAGAAAAATAATTTGTTGCTGAGGAAATGTGACGAACTGCAGCGACGTAATGATACATACCGGAACTGGCTACTTTTGGAAAGTGCGCTTCTCTTTGGATGTGTACTTTTTTTGTGGTACTATAATGACGTATCCTTTCCTGGTGTTATTTTCCGGTTTATTTTTCCATAATCGTTGTATTTTTATGCGTTTTTTGCAGCAATGCAATGCGAAAAACGCATATTGACGAGAGATTGTCTGTGTG